GACTTCTTGGAAACATCAATTTCTTGATGATATTGATTAAAATAATCATTATTATTATTGCTTTTTTTTTACTAATGATTCTTCTTTATTATGATCATCATTATTAAAAGAATCTGAAGTTTCCAAGGTCGCAGATACTGCTGATCCGTGAACATCATCAACTAAGACTTTATTCATCTTGGAAACAGAAAGTTGCGATCGAATTTTTGCAAATTGCTCTAAAATTGTATCTAATTTAGCTAATAAAACTGATTTTTCTTCTTCTAGAGTCTTTAATCTTTTTGATAAATGTATATTTTCTTCTTTAAGAACCATGTTCTGTGCCTCTAAATCAGTCATTTGTTTTCTTTTTTTATCTCTTGATATTTGTGCTGCATGTCGATTTCAAAGTATTCTATTATCAAAAAATCAATTAATGAATTATTTCGTTGATTAATTGATAATGGAATGATGATATCACACCTTTCATGTTGTCTTTGTTCTATACCTTCAACCTTTCTCTTTTGACCACCAGTAGTTTTCTTTTTAGTTTCTTCAACTACTGATGATGATGAAAATGAAAATTGACTAATGGAAGTTAAATTACTCGAACAGTTTGATGTGATTTTTGAATTTGGAATAATGTTTTTAGTAAATGTCAGTTGAATTGGTTTTAAAGTGGTGGAAGTTGAAGAAAGTAATTTAATTTTTGAAGTTAAAGGAGCAAAGTCATCATTATTTGTTATGATGGGAGACGAAATTGCAGAAGAGGAAGGAGGAATTATTTCTGAGGTCACCAAATCTTCACTCCAATTAGAGTAATCATTATTATGAGACAAAGGGATCTCATAACCATTGGCATCATTGAAATGTTGGTTTGGTGAAGACATGATGACCTATTACGACTTTTCTTTGTTATCACTGTCAATGCAGTTTGGGCCAGTTACAACAAGAATATTATTTTAAAAAAAAAATAGAGATAATAAAAGGAAATTTATGAAGACAAATTTATCTCATCAATATTGTGTAACAGTAACTGTTTAATTTTTTTGATACATGTAAAATCCTCTGCCACTCTTTATGCCTAACCAACCAGCATCAACATATTTTTGTAATAAAATAGCTGGCCTATATTTAGTATCACCAATCTCTGTATGTAACACCTTCATTATTGCTAAACATGTATCAAGGCCTATGAAATCAGCTAAAGTTAAAGGACCCATTGGGATATTTGTACCTAATTTCATAGTGGTATCTATATCTTCACAAGTTGCTATGCCCTAGACAATTTATGGTTAATGTAGTTATTATTTTTTATTTCTGAATTGATTTTTTTGAAAAAAAAAAACTTTACCTGTTCTAATACCATAATAGCTTCATTAATGTAAGGCATTAATAATCTATTTGCTATAAATCCCGGTACATCTTTTGACAATGTACATGTTTTACCCATGGAAATAGCTAAATTTTTGGTTGTATCAAAAGTTTCATCTGATGTGGCTAAACCAGGAATAATTTCAACCAATTTCATCACACTCACTGGATTCATAAAATGCATACCAATCACCTAAACAAACATAAGATTATTTTGAGAATAGTGACTTTCTTTTCTTTGTATCCATCCAATTCATTATTACCTTCTGTGGTCTATTTGTAACTGCTGCAATTTTAGTAATACTAATACTACTAGTATTGGTGGCAAGAATTGTATCTGGTTTAGTTGACTTATCCAGATCAATAAACACCTTTTTTTTCAATTCTAGATTTTCTGGTACTGCTTCAATCACAAAATTCATTTCACTTAACCCTGAAATATTTTCTGTTGTTTTAATTAATGATTTTGTTAAACTAGCATGTTCTTCTGTAATTTGATTTTTTTTAATGTCTTTCTCAAGTAGGCCATCTAAGAAGAATTTATATATGTTCATATTATAAACTTTTTTAAAAAAACTGAGAGAAATTAATATGTAATTTTTCAAATCAGACCAATAAATCTCAATGCTTTTTCAATTTGATTTGGATTTGAATCCATGATTTTAACAGGTAAACGACTAACATTTGCAATTACAAATGCAATTCCCAATCCCTAATTTTATTTAATTAACAATAAAATATTTTAATCTATTATTCAAATAAATATAATATTAACTAATTAATTAATTAGAAAAACCATTTGTCCTGCTCCAATAACTCCAACTTTGTGATTCTTTTTTAAAAATAAATAAATAAAACCATTAATTAAGCAAAAAAAAAAATATATATATATCTCAATCTTAATAAATTCTTACAATAACATTGTTATTATTATTAGTAGAGATGGTGGAAAAACTGGAAGTTGTAGTTGATACTGTTTTTACAGAGGTATGAAAATAAACCTAGTAAATTATTAATATATATATAAGTGTGTGTATATATATATATATATTTATAACTTTTGAATAAAATACCTTATTATTATTAGTACTGATCATTTTTGTAAATAAACGACAACTATTAAAAAAACGACACATCCTTCAAAACCAAAAAATATCAAGTCAAGGATGATGAATTTATGCGACAATAAAAGTGAATTATGCACAATGAATCATAAATTCTGATGATCAATACAACAATGCAATTTTTTGACCATAATCAATTATGCAGTAGTATATAATAGTAAAATACATGTACTAAAACTCTACAACAAATAATTTTTTGAGAAAATCACGTTATTACATTAAAACTAAAGGCCTATTCTATCAACTAATCATGCTATTTTTTTAATTTGTGCAAAATTTAGGAAGTCTTTACAGACATTTTTTGTAAGCTAAATGGTCCATTATAGAGAGTGAAACTGTAATGAAGAGTTGTTTGGTTTTATTAACCTGTCACTCATTAATCAGGAATCCTTGTTATTAAAATCATAAAATTAATAAATAATGTCATTAACAATTTATAAATAAATTCCCTCATCTATTGTATGTAACATAGTTACAGCTCACACTCTCTATAATGAACTTCATTTTTATTTCCAGTTCAATTTTTTATATTAATTTCTCTCTTTATAATGAACATTTTAGTAAATGCTCTCTATAATGAATAGAAGTAAAAAAATTACACATAAGGTACGTTATAGAGAGAGAACTGTATATGTAAATTTATCCAAATTTATGTAGTAAAATAGTTCTAATATGTAAAAAATTTAAAGTCATAATATATTATGGTAGTATTAAAAGGAATTCAAGTAAGTACCTGAAAATAATCAAGAATTAATAAAATTAAAAAAGAAAATTGAAGAATTAGAAGAAATGTTAGTTAGGGTATAATTGATAATTTAATAGCTACAAAATTGAATTAGAAAAAGAAAACTTAAAAGTAGAAAAGCACAAATTAAGAAAAAAGAAAGAATTGAAATGGAATATTAAAAAAACCATTTGCTGAAGTAGGTTCAAAATATGATGAGCCAATTGGTGAAGAAATAGAAACAGATAAAGATAATTGAAAAGAAGAATTTATTAAGAAATTAAGAAATGAAGAGAGAAATAGCACAATAATTAAAATTATTAAAATTATTGAAGACTGAAAAAAAAAAAAAACTAAAGATGCAAGAATGCAAGCTGAAACTTGTCTTGAAGCCTTAAAAGTAGCCCAAGAATGAAGAAGAAGAAGATTAGCTGAGAAATTAGAGCATTGGAAACGGTTAAGAATCAGGAAATAAAGATACTTGCCGTAAATAGATACAGCTGTCACAAATATAGTAGTCGTGAGAAAATTATTTGTGATCTGCAGTTATATACAAAAAAGATAAATGAGAAAATTCTCCTAAAAAAAGAAACAAGAGCAAATAATCGAAGCAGGCCAAACCAACCCACACTAATTCTTTTTTACCAAATTTATTTTTAATTTCTTTAAATAAAAGATAACAAACATATGCTCGTCTATGTTAAGTTAGGTAGTAAATCATTTCCTTTCCAATTTTTTTTCCTTTCTAAATTCTTCATGGTTTTCTTTCTTCTTGGTAAATTTCATATATACTGTAGGTAATCCTTTCATCCCTTAGTGATAATGTCTTTCAAAATGGACATGATCGGCCAAAATCTTAGATTTTTATTTTAAAGAAAATGAATAATCAACATTTATCAAATCAATATAATCTTTGGAATGGTAGGACAAATGATTAGGAAATACTCCAGAATCAACATTAAGAATCGAGTTGCGGACTCATCTCTTGTTCAATCTATTCCAATATCAAGACCAAAACCACAATATTCTCTTGGCCTACCTCCTAGAACATATTGTTTATCTCCTTTGGAACATAAACTTGTAGCAGAAAGAGAATTGCCTGAAAATAAGTACCATTATGCTTATTATTATTTGATACAAATAATCACTTCAAATAGTGCTTTTTTGGTAATTCTGATGATTAGTTCAATCATTTTTAATAGGTGATAGATAAACAATATATATTTTTCAATATTCTTGTTACTTGTATGCTTATCTATATGTATGAACTGATATTTTGTTTTTTCTTGAAAAATATTCATTTTGATATTTTATTGATAGAGTGGAGAGACTGGAAATCTTTCGCTACAATGGACAAGTATAAATAATATAAATGATGATACATATAATATTTTTAATAATATGAATAAATTTTTACTCAATAATTAACTTATCGAACAGAAATCACTTTTATAATGTATTTTATTGGCAACATTATAAAGACATTATATGAATGTTCATTATATAAACATGAAGAAAAAAACATTCGAGATTTAAAAGAAAAAATTTGTAATTGGGCATTATTGTTTTTTACACATTATAAATAATTTACTTTTAGATAAATTTTAAAAAAAATTTTTTTTGTAATAGAATTATCAAATCCTGCAATACTTGATGAATTAAAACCAATTAAACCCGTAAATACTAGAGTTCCCGATTCTACATCATCTACCATATCACCATCAACTATCACTTTCTTGGTCACAAACATCTCCCATCTTTGCAACAACAACGACAACAACACCAACGTCATCATCATCTTATTTATCTTCAACATCTCCCATATCCCAATCAAGTCCTATACACAAATCAACTTCTGCATTCCGATCAGCTCCTGCATTCCAGTCAACTTCTGCATTCCGACCTCCTTCCGGATTTCCATCATCTTCTGTATTCCTTCATCTATTGATAGATTTACTACAAACATTGGCACATAACCATCATCTCTGCCTCTACAATCACCTTTCTCAAGTTCTACTATTGCATCAGACAGTCCTATGTTTAATAGATCTATTAATAATAATAACCAACAAACAAATTTAAATTGAACAATTTTACAAAATTACTCTAATAATATTATTATTATTAATATTAATATTAACACAATACTAACCGCACCTTTAACACAATCAACAATTAGATCAAATTCACCACCTTCTATGAATAATGATCTAAATTTTAACATGTTTTTTCTTGGTATTTAGAATTCATTTGGTTTTTTCTCAGAAATTATAAATTATAAACAATGTAATAGAATGTTTTATTGTGGATTAAATTAGTGACAATAATAAAATAATATATATTCACATAGTATGTATATAAATAACCATGTTTTCAGAATGAAATACTAATAATAATATAATACACAAATGAACAAATCATTAATCTAATTATCTGCTATAAGTTGTTATCATTGTCATTGTTATAAGATCTAATAAATTTACATATTATTGTTAATATATTGCATTTAACAATTCTTTTATTTTAAAAAACCCAAAAAAAATTACTTAAAATTCTCATTGCCTCTAATACTTATCATCATCATCATCTAATTTGGAGACAAAATTTTTAAAGTTGATTTTTTGTTTTTTCTAATCTCTTGATGATAAACATACTTGTATCCAAAAATCTTTCAACACAATTTGTTAAGCAAGTTTCTTCACCACGTTCAATCTTATTACCAACCTTGGTAATACATTTGTCCCAACATAGATCAGTAAAAGTGTGAACAGATTGTTGAAGACGCATTTTTGCATTTTCACCTTCTAAAAATTTTGTGAGTTCTTTTTGTGAAGCTTCATCGAATTCCAGATTTGAAGAGGGAGATGTTGTTAAAGAAAAATCAGAAGACATTTTTAAAATTTAGGAGGAAAAAAATTTGATAAATTTGATCAACATGATTATCAAATTTTACACAAATTTATAGATATTGTTGATGAAAAAAACAATATAATAAGGGATTGATTGGCTCATTTGAATGATGAAAGAGAAAAGCGGTAAGCAATTTTATTTTTTCTCAATTCCAATTATTGTATTTAAAAAAAAAAACTAGTTCAGGATTTATTAATCAGGAATTAATTGAAACGGTGTCTATGACTTTAACAGAAGTTTTTGTCATCTTTATTTTCTAACATGGGTCCGATGATGAATGATGGTCCAATATTTATTTGTCAACATCAAAATCGACCATGTTCAAAAACGCAAAAAAAGCACAGAAGGGACAATAAAATTTATTATATGATTACTATTTAAAAAACAAAATTTTTTTGAACTCTACTATTTTATTTTATTTATGCAATCCATCCATCACCTAAAAACCGATTTAAGAGCCTATTTTCTTGAAAATTCAAGTTTTAACTCGAGCCTGCTCAACTTGGGGTTTCTATTCGAATAAAACGAATAAGAATTTGTATTACGTTGAAACGTGATTAGTATAATTTTGGTATAACGAATTTTGAAATTTATGTGTTGGTGAATTTCAGAGACAGGCCACTCTACAGCGTAGGAAATTTAATTAAGAAGACCATTATAGAGTAGGGTTTTTATATAGAAAAAATTGGGATCCAATTTTTAGTTTGTTATAGAGTGGAGACCATTATAGAAAAGGCTGTTATAGAAAGTGTGTAAAAATACTTAAATTTATCATTTTTACCATGTCTTTATGGAAATATTGTAAAAGTGACTTTTAAAACACCCATATCGTGCCATATTATCTGTGTAAGAAGGTTGTTTGAATTTGTGGTAAAACAATTAAGCTTAGTAGATTCTGGGATGAAATAAAGCAAAAGTGGGGCAAAGAACAATTTTCAACCTGCTCAAATTGAAAATACAGAAAGTCAGAATAAGGGTTTGATCCTAATGTATATGATAATATGGATGATGATGACTTATTCCTAGATGAAATAAATGATGATACTCTAATCTCATCTCTTACTTATTATAGATAATAACAAAACAAAAACATCAATTGTGCAATATGGCAAGCATTGTTATACAAATGAACTGGAATATTTTAACACATCATGTACCATCTAATGTAATTTATCATATTTCAGAATTAAAAGTTTTAATTGATGGTAATATTCTCAAATTGTTAGGAGATGAGAAGAAATATTATAATGAATATTTTGGTCAGGACGATATTATTGAGGTCATGTTTAAAGTTTGCTTATTCATCTTATTAAAAACCTTGCTTGAGTTATTATAAAATTTGCGTGTTACCTCTATATGTATTGCTCTGGGCCCTGTTGATTGTGAGTTAAACAAATAAATATACAGCATTTGTACTTACATAATGGTTTTTTTGCTACTTTATTTTGTAATAAAAACGGTAGTATATAGTAATAACAGCAAAATAAAAACAAGATATGTATGTATATATAGATATATAGATATAGATAGATAGACAGACATATATATTGGTCGATTGAGATAAACGAGTGACTGACTGACATCGAGAGAAATATTTGTTCAATGATTCAATTTAAAAATACTTTTTGTAAACACTTATTATAATTTTGATATTAAAAGACCTAAAAAAAATACAAAAGTTAACAAAATTTTGTTGTATTATTTATAATTTTTTTTATAATAAAATTTTACATAAAAAATCGAAAAATCGAAAAATTATTTATTATTATCTATTCTTTATTTATTACATGAATATCCAAGTTCTTTTAACCCAAGACGTAATGCTTCAATGGTTTTTTCAACATGTTTTCGTTCTGGTTCAGTAACACTAACACCCATATGTCTATATTGTATCAATCAACCAATTAATCAATCATTTAATATGTTTTGTTAAAAAAAAAGAAAGTTAAGTATTTTATCATACCCGATTCTAAAATATTTAGTAGCTATTTCTTTATGCAATCCACCAGCAATCACAACATCATGTGAAGAAACTTTAGGAAGTAAATCAGTTGCTGCTATACCATCAGGATAATATACAGCTGTCATGCCATTAGCTGAAGTTTCTTTAGATTTAGGAACCTAACAAAATCAACCAACAAATCAATCAATCAATCAAAAAATTTTATATTTAGTGAAAAATTGTCAACTTACAAATTTTAACCCTAATTCTTCAACAGCCTTTTTAATCGATGCACTAGCTTGCTTGTGTTGTTCAAAACGTGTTTCAATTGGCACTGACATTATTTGTTTTAAACTTGCATGAAGTGCATATATTAATTGAACTGGCGGTGTGGCGAAATACATTCCTTTACGCGTTTCATATGCATTCATGACTATTATAAGAAATAAAATAAAAAACAGTTAGAATCTTATTTTTATCATTACTATTATTATTATTCAAAGATATATTAGATATATATATTACTTGGTAGCCAATTAGCCCATGAAGCGTAATAACTTGTAATTGGTGATTTACGTTTTTTAAATACTTGCTTTTATTTTTTTAAATAAATAATTAATTATCAATTTTTCTTTTTCAAAATATAATAATAATAATAACCATACATACCATTGATCTTTCACTTGCAACCAAAATGGATAATCCTGGTGGTACTCCTATTCCTTTTTGACTTGCTGTCATCACAATATCAAGCCCCCATTCATCTACACGAATTTCTTCAGATCCAACAGAGCATACTCCATCAACAATTATCAATGTATCCGGTGATTTTTGTCTAACTAGTTGTGCAATGTTTTTTATATCAGATAGCACCCCGGTTGATGTGTCAACATGAGTAATTGTTATGGCTTTGTATCTTTTGTTATCAAGAGCCGAAGAAATATCTTCAAGTGATGGTCGATCACCGATGTCTGCTTTAAGTTGAGTCGCTTGTGCACCATAGGTTTTAAGGCTATATACATCCATACATTCATACATTATGTATTATATTAATTTACATACAATATAAAACTTAAAATATTTTTAAAATCATAGTTTTACCAGGTAGCAAAGGAATCACCAAAATATCCGGTATGTAAAACAAGTACATCTTCACCAGGTTCGATCAAATTAGAAGAAACCATATCCCAACCCAGCGTGCCTGAACCAGATACAACGAATGGTTGAGCACTCTTTGTAATAAATAATTTGCGTAAAAGCTCAAAACATTCACTAAACGCATTGATGAAAGCAGGTGAAACGTGAGATGTTGCAGGTGTAGCTATCGATCTTAAAACATCATCATGAAATTCCACTGGACCTGTTTTTTGATTGTTTATAAAAAACTTAATGGTCAATAATCAAAAGTCAATCAATCAATTCATAAGGAATTATATCTCATTTCTCACTAAATCACGAAATATTACCTGGAATCATGCATAATTTATGATCTTGTGAAGAATTAGAAGACATTATTGAAAAATTTTTATCGTAAAAATTTAATGCGAGTTTCTTTTTCTCAATAAATGAACTGTTACTATATCTTAATAATAATAGAGTGCGTCTAAAAGCATAGAGCATATATATATTTATAATTTATGTAAGTAATATATTTTTTGGCTCTCTATATATATATATATCTATCTACCTATATATATATATATATATATATTATACAAGTTTTTTTTTAATGATGGATAAATTTCGGGTAATTATATAAATGAATATACTTGGTAAATATTGACGCAGATCTCTCGAAATTGGCAAAAACCTATCCTACTATAGTGCAAGTCACTTAGTCACTGAACTTTTTGTGCTACACCGCCATTTTTTGAGAAAAAAATTTCCAATCAAAAATGCAATAAAATTTGTATGGTCA